AAAACTTAGGTCATTGACCGATTACTAGTTATTAAATTTTAATGTATCTATACAAGACTCGCAAAAACCCATAAAAAATCTGTTTGTCATTAATACATTTTTTTTTCAAAGTATAGACGTAGATTTGAAACTAGTCTAAAAGCCGTATGTATTCGCGTTTCAAACTCTTCAAACTTCCAGTGACCACATAACACCAATTAGGCCGGGAATACAAATAGCCGTCATATGCAAACAAAAAATATATATCACGTTTTTCTTAAATACATAAATGATAAGGTCGTTTCTTAGAAATCTCTTCATCGGTGCGAAGTGTCTTTAATTGATGCAAGAAAGTCGATTCCAGGACAAACCTCTGACGTGGAGACTCATAAACACATATGATTGTTTATTTTGATGTCTGCTTGAGATGATTCCATCATATTGCTTTTACTATCACAACGCCCGTTATAGGAGTTCATCCATACTACCCAGATCCACTGCTTTTACAGGTGTTTCCCGAGCGCTATGACATTTCCTTCTTCAAACGAGGCTCGTGGAGAGTACTTAACGATAGGCAGCGGCTTGGCTCTACGCCTGGAATTGCCGACGTCCATGAGCGACGGTAACCACTCACCATCAGGTGGGCCGTATGCTCGTCTAAAGCAATAAAAAAAGGTTCTGGAAATATTTTAAGACGTCACCCAAATTAGACACATTCTCCTGTGTTAACGTAACGGGAGAAATGCGAAGCAAAGATAATTGCACCCAGACTTGTAAAGCAAAGCAAAGTAAAGCTTGTTTACTAGTGGTAGGACGTGTTGTGAGTCCGCGCGGGTAGGTACCACCACCCTGCCTATTTCTGCTGTGAAGCAGCAGCAGCGTTTCGGTTTAAAGGGTGGGGCAGTCGTTAAACTATACTGAGACTATAGAACTCATATATCAAGGTAGGTGGCGGGATTTACGTTGTAGATGTCTATGGGCTCCGGTAACCACTTAACACCAGGTGGGCTGTCAGGTCGTCCATCCATCTATGCAATAAAAATACAAATAAAATCGAATCCGGATCTCAAGGTGCAACACTCAAATTAAATAACCAGTAAACTAACGAGACGGTTAAAGTCAATTAAGAGGGACTGTGCATCGACTATGACAGGTTACCGGAAGACATAGCGTGGGTAGACTTCCCACAAGACGGACTGATGACAAGTTGAGTATCGTTGGAGTGCGCTGGTTGCAGGCAGCGCTGGTCCGCTGGTTGTGGCGAGGCTTAAAGGAGACCTATGGGACGTCTGTGGGCTTTTTTTCCTACCTAAGCTGATGGCAAAACCATCAGCGTAACCAGGCGAGTAGGTGAGCTCACGGGGCTCAAACTTGACGTTGTTGCTAACACGAACCCTAGCAAGAGCTGTGCTTGTGTGTAAGTGTGTAATGTAGTTACCGGCGGCCACGATGAGAGAGTTCTCGTGTCGTACTTCATTATCGAATTGGCACATTGATGCCGACTGTAAATACTTACTGATGGCCTCTACTGGGTTCCGACGGCTATCCTGCTAAAACGGGATTGAATGATTTAAAGGGTTTTCAAGTTAGTGCGAGCCGCGTGAGCGAACACTACGCTTGCATAAGTCATGACGGGGCGTATACAAGTTTTGTAGAGTACCACTTTATTTCTAAGGGACAATTTAATTCGATTTCTGTGAGCTGAAAGATGGACAGAAACACTAAAAAATGCAGTGACAGCATCCTTCGCTCGTAAACAACTAGAAAATTATGACACACCACAGATTATTATCGATGCCATGCAAAAATGTGAACTATTAAATAATAATATATGCATAAAGCAGTATTTTAGACGCACGAAATGTAATAAAGGATATTTGACAGAAATGTATAGGGACAATTTACAAACATTACCTACGATGGTTCGATATTTGGAAAATAACCAACTCCGATTTGGTTTGATTTATTGTTTTAAACATACAAGAGAAAATCGGAGTGATCGGCTAGTTGGAGACTGAGGGAGAAAGACCCTTCTGGCGTACCACATAGTCTAATATCCAACAACAGAGAAAAGGTTGAGGGGGAAGAGGTCGACCGAAGAAGACATGGATGGAGCGTGTAGATGATGATATGAGAGAGAGGAGTGAGCGTTGAGATGACGGCTGATAGAAGAGAATGGAAAATAAAAATTAGCTGTGCCGACCCCACCCAGTGGGATAAGGTGGAGAAAAAGAAGAAGAGGGGGGCAAGGGTTGATATTGCTATTGTCAAAAAACAATTTAAATTTTTATACTCGCGTAGACATATAAGTAAACTAGCTGTACCCGTCCGCTTCGTTGGGCATTTAAAATTAACATTATTATTTCTCACCCCCACAAAGATTCTCATTATTAACGCCCCCGCAACTGATATACATCCGTAAAAACCACTGTTGATTTATATATTAGTATAGATGACGTTTGTGCCCTCGCAATAAATAAATAAAGGCTGAATATTGTGCAGCTACGTTTTCAAAAAAAGCTTATAAATTTTCTACACTACAACAAAAATTAAGGTCTTGACAGCCCTTCCGTGTGTGTATTCGTGATCTTATCACATAATGTTTTAGGGGTGTCGAAGCACTAGAAAAACACGTGTCAGTTTTATTTTAAAGTTCAAAGGGGCATGAGCCCCGGTGAGTTATGGCTTTCATTTTGTGATCCCTATGGACTCCGGTAACCGCTTAACAAAAGGTGGACCGAGGGTCTATCAACCCATCTAAGCAATATAAAATAAAAAAAATTAATAAAAAAGTCTCAGTCCTATAGCACACTGCCCCGTTCTTCAAACTCCACTGCATTACAGCATCGCACAAGAAATAGGCAAAACGGCGGTACCTACCCACAAGAGGCCGTACCATTAGGTAGGCTATTTACTCGATTGCGATCGAAATAAAAACATTCGGAAAAATTTTTTAGAGGCTCTGCCAGCCCTACCTCGTTAATTCTTATCAATAACCCACATCTAAGGGCTGTTACTATTTATTATTTCTGTTCAACGAACGCTACGTACGAGCACGGGTCGAGGATATTAATTCTTTTCTTCGAAACGTAATTTCAGAGTTAAGGCTTCGTCAAACAGAACGCGTACTTAGCGCTGCGTTATAACGTCGCGCTCTTTTCATGTCACACAAATTGACTTGATGAGCCCAGCGCTCCTTGACGCAACGCATTCGGCAAATCATAGCACCTTTGGATAGCAGTGTGAAAATTTAAAAGTATAAACATGTCGAGTGATTCAGATGTGGCATTGTCTAAGCATGGGTATTTTCTTACTAATTCTATCAATTTTTCGGGCATTATTCAGTATTTTAATACACATTCACTCGGACGCTAAAATATAATTTGTAAAAAATTACACCGTCTGACGTCAAAGCGCCCTAACGCCGCGACAGAGCGTTGCGTACTTATAGCGCTGGGGCTCTCGGTATGTTACCATAGTAGTACAACACATCTCGGCGTCATGGCGCGCCGTCAGTTTAGCGTTCTGACGCGCGCTAGGTACGCGTTCTGTTTGACGAAGCCTTTATTCGAAGTCATAACTTAATTTGTAGCGCTGAAGCGGAAATTATAAGAGATTCGATTTTTATGGATACAAAGTCACGCGAGCTAAGATTGTGAAGTGGCCCCATAGTAATAGTAAAGACATACAGGTTCCTTAACACGTTGTAAGCTTTACGCTCCAACGGTGGGCTCAGTGTACCTACTGTATGTACCTACCATTTGGGCCAAGCCAAATTTAGGGAATTAGTAATTTTTATCAAATTAAGATTTTCATTCAAAAATTAATATAAAATTGGATAATTTGCAAGGTAAATAAAAATAAATAATACTTTAAAAAAACTAACAAAATATGCTTTTATAGAAAATCCAAATTATTGCTTAGATAGGTGGACGAGCTCACAGACCACCTGGTGTTAAGTGGTTATTGGAGCCGATAAATATCTACAACGTAAATGCGCCACCCACCTTAAGATTTAAGTTCTAAAGTCTCAGTATAGTTCAACGGCTGCCCCACCGTTTAAACCGAAACACATTACTGCTTCACGACAGAAATAGGCAGGGTGGTGGTACCTACCCGTGCGGACTCACAAGAGGTCCTATCATCAGTAATTACGCAAATTATAATTTTGCGGGTTTGATTTTTATTACACGATGTTATTCCTTCACCGTGGAAGTCAATCGTGAATATTTGTTTAGTACGTATTTCATCAGAAAAATTAGTACCCGCCTGGAATTCGAACACCGTTGCATCGCTACATACGAATGCACCGGACGTCTTATCCTTTAGGCCACAATGACTTCAAATTTAAAACCCGGCTGGACTTCAACAAATATAATATTTTCCGGTCTTTATTAATAACATTAGTGCGAGCAATGTAATTTCAAAGCGAGGTTAAATTTTTCATATTTGTCGTCGAAGTGCTAATTACGTTACGAATGTGCGTAAGTGAAATCTATGTTAATAGTAAATGTAACTGAGTTATGTTTGTTCGTTGAATGAGTTAACAGGAAATTTGAATGGGTAATTCTATTCTACTAGGATATACTGCTGCGTCTATTTGTTATAGGTATCTTGAGGTGGCCAAGAAAACGAATAAATGCGTTTACTTCTTCAAATACTAATTATATTATTTTTAATTATTAGAATTGATAAGCGCTTCCATCTTTTTTCTTCGTGTAATAATTTTTTTTTAATTTTGACAATTGGTGCCTCTACTGCGTTTCCTGTTTTGTGATTGGTTCGTGCGATATGACGTCATCGTTGGCCAATCACAGCCATCAATGTATGACGCGACGTTGATTCGTTAATATATATACATAGGTAAGGACCTCTTGTGAGTCCGCACGGGTAGGTACCATCACTCTGTTTATTTCTGCCGTGAAGCAGTGACGCGTTTCGGTTTGAAGGGCGGGGCAGCCGTTGTAACTATACTGAGACTTTAGAACTTATATCTGAAGGTGGGTGGCGCAGTTATGAACACGAACAGCGCGCTATTCGCGCAGTTCGTGCAATTAATATGCCCGGACATTATGTCCCGTTTTGAGGCCTACAAGGCCACGCTAGAGTCGAACCCCGATGGTTCATCCGCCGCCGCCGCGATTATCATCCGCGACTCGCCGTTATCGCCTCCCGCGCCGGCACTCCGCGACTCGCCGATGTCGCCCCCACCCCCGCGCCCGCGTCGATCGCGTCCTCCGTAGCGGAGAGCTCCGGCTCCGACTCCGAGTCGGAAATGGAGTACGAGTCCGCCGCGAGTCCCCAACCGGGAACCTCGGAAGGGTTCACCACCGTCGCGCGCGGGAAAAAACGCGCCCGCGCCGTGGAACCGTCCGCGGCGCCGAAACAACCAAAGGCCGCGAACGCGTCGCGGCCTAAAGTCGTGGTCTCACCCGACTCCCCTCGCCGCGCAACCCCGTCGCCGCGCCCCGGGCCCGCGCCCGTCCGAAAAGTTCCCGCGCCGCCGCCGGTCATCCTGCGGGAAAAATCTTCTTGGGATCGCGTATCCCTGGCCCTTAAGGCCAACAAGATAAATGTAGTCCATGCGAGGANAAAAAAAAAAAAAAAAAAAAAAAAAAAAAGCGCAGTTATGTTGTAGATATCTATGGGCTTCAGTAACCACTTAACACCAGGTGGGCTGTGAGCTCGTCTAGCCATCTAAGCATTAAAAAAAAAAACGCAAAAATTACTAAGTTAAATTTTTATCGCTTAGAAGGATGATCGAGCTCACAGCACATCTGGTGTTAAATGGTTACCAGAGCCCATAGACATCGACAACGGTAATGCCGCAACCCACCTTGAGACATAAATTCTGTAGTACAACATCTTTATGTAATATAAGCAAAATTTTTAGTATTTGGAAGATTATCGTTAGATTTAAAAATTAGTTCATAATTTTCGGAACATAACTATCACAAAACATCTAGTCTTCTGTCGAGCAAGTGAAATTTCTTAAACGTGATGTTCTGTGATAGCAGTGAAATAATCAAAATTTAAAATCAGTACAGTTGCAACCGCGGGATACATCTTGTATAATTATAACTCGCGTCAATGCGTTTCATGTCCAAGTAACATCGAATACAAAAGAGCTTTAAATATTTAAGTGAATAAACACATTTTGGTTCGCATATACATGGAGTAATCGTGAAAAAGAGGCCGCCATTAACAATACCTTGGTCTGTTCTGGCGTTTGAAGCACACTATTTTATATTCTTCTTCTTCCTAGTACTATCCCGGTCTAAAGTCAGGGCAGCTTTCCTATTTAATCTCCTACACTTTGCCCAGTCTTCGGTATCCTTCTGGGTGAGGTTATTCATCCGCCTCACATCCAACCAGCGTTTCTTGGGCCTACCCCGGGGTCTTGCTACGTAAAGGTTGAGGCATTTACTATCGAAGTTTCATATTGTTAAAAAAAAAATCCCGGGTTTGGATTCATAAAAATAATTAAGTTTTCTGAAAAACTTTTTCGGGGGGCTTTTGGGAGTGGAAACGGAATTTTCTTCGACGACAAATTCTCGACTTACTTGACGATAAGTGACTATTGAAAGCCATAGATATTTACAAGGCGATACCTCCACTGACACAACCATTTGGTTACAAAGGCTTTCCTACCCTTCAAGCCGGTCCTTATGACTGTTTCACCGCTGGCGGTAGGCAGCGTCTTGGCTCTGCTCCTGGCATTACTGAAGTCCATGGGCGACGGTAACCACTTACCATCAGGTGGGCCGTACGCTCGTCTGCCTAACAAGGTCATAAAAAAAAGAAAGTAGTTAGCAGGATGGAATATCTGCCTGCACCTATAACCTAATGAAGATTATGAATGAATGAACGATGATTAACTCAATATAAAAAATGAATTTCAAAGAGCTATAATGAAACTTTCCCGCGAGACCATACAGTGTCAACCATTTTGTTAATACGCCGGATAAACTTGTTTAATTGATTTGTTAAATACACGAATTATATAATAGCATTTTCATTATTAAGGTCACCCGAATCTTCTGTCAATGTTAATATAAAAAATTGCCAAGTACCTAGCGATGCTTACTGGGTTTGTGACAATGCAATTTTCTGCAATGTCTCTTAATCATAATAATGGATGCGAATACTGGACACAAATATGTAACATCTGGTTAATTTTTTAAATGTTTCATTCATATGTGGAATTCGATTTTTCTACCTTGAGCTATAAGGTCTAAGGTCTCAGTATAGTTACAACGGCTGCCCCACCCTTCGAACCGAAACGCGTTACTGCTTCACGGCAGAAATTGGCAGGGTGCTGGTACCTATCCGTGCGGATTCACAAGAGGTCCTACCACCAGTAATAGTCAATATACCTTTATGAAGCCAAGCCTTGGGCGCTACCAGCCGAAGGTCTTTCCAAAGCCTCGTTTGAATAACCCCACATCTTAGTGCTTAAAGAAAATTCGGGAAACTTAATAGTTAATTTAATGTTCATACGTTGAGGCTTCGCATCTGAGAAAAGAGATGAAATTTATCCACGTCATGTCTACAGACCAACACCAATCAGGGGCTTATATATCAATTTAAAGCAAAAATGAGGTGGTACTGGTGGGTGGTAGGACCTCTTGTGAGTCCGCACGGGTAGGTACCACCGCCCCGCCTATTTCTGCCGTGAAGCAGTAATGCGTTTCGGTTTGAAGGGTTCGGCAGTCGTTGTTACCATACTGAGACTTTAAAACTTATATCTCAAGGTGAGTGACGCATTTGCGTTGTAGATGTCTACGGGCTCCAGTAAGCACTTAACACCAAGTGGGCTGTGAGCTCATCCACCTATCTAAGCAATAAAACAAAAAGAATGTAATGTAATATCATACCCTTTACCAACTAAACCGACAAATGTGTCTAAGCATTACCAGCCAACAGGCACGGCTGCTTAATTCAAAGAATCGATTAAGAGAAATCAAAGCATGAATTTCGCGACACCAAAGCCCGATCGAAGACATAAAAAAAACGTATTCAAATATTTTCGAGTTTCCTCAACTCCGTCATTGCAGAGATCAATTTTGTAATACGTTTCTGATGGGATACGACCCGACGTGTTATTCAAAGTAGGAATTACTGGGAGAAGCGTGAAAACTCGTGGCGCATTCACGAGGGTGCTTGCTACTAACAGTCATTCATCATTTCGCGGCTCTTACCATTTGCTCAATTCTGAGCGAGTGTCGAGAGAGTTTGATTTTTGATAGCCAAGAAGAAGAAGTGGAATGGCAGCTAAATATAATTGTTACGTATTTTTCTTAGAGGTATCCTGAGGTGGCCAAGAAAATGAATAAATGCGTTTACTTCTTCAAATACTAATTATATTGGTTTTAAATCTATACTAATATATAAATCTACAGTGGTTTTTACGGATGTTCCGTTATAACTACTGAACCATGCATCCGATTGACTTGAAACTTAGTATTCATGTAGAAAATACATGTACTTAATGGATAGATAATATTTAAATGTTGGACTCACTACACCAGTTGCGGGGGCGTTGATGATGATAATCTTTGTGGGGGTGAGAAATAATAATGTTTATTTTAAATGGCCAGCGAAGCGGACGGGTACAGCTAGTTATTTTACAAGAATAGGTAAATTGACATGCGCATCCATGTTTTTTCTGCGTGTTTTAATTCAAAATTTGACAATTGGTGCCACTGTTGCGTTCGCTGATTTCTCATTGGTTCGTGCGATATGACGTCACCGCTGGCCAATCATAGCCATCAATGTATGACGCGACGTTGATCCGTTAACAGTAATAAATAGTAACGTTCGGGAAATTTGAAAGAGTTCGAAATGTTTCGAGAACTTATTAAATCGAATTAATTAACTTACCGTCATTCTGGTGTGGGACCTGGTTGGTGAATCTATATCATTCTATAAGAGTCTCGACCAAAGTCAGTATAATTGTTAAATATATTTAGGGTTTGGACACACACGAAGTATTGTATAACCAAAACTGTAGGGAATTCTATCTGGGAAATATTTTCTGAATACCCGCAAATGAAAATAATCAATTCTACCAAGGTCATGATCTTTTCAAGCTTTTCATTGTCTAATAAGATCCTAATGATGTTTTTTTATAAAATAATAGATGACATTGGGGAAAATATCGACGAATAATAGCTTGGTCTTATACTGGTGGTTGGACGTCTTCTGACTGCCGCTCTGTCTATTCCTGCCGTGAAGCAGTAACGCGTTTCGGGTCGAAGTGTGGGGTAGCCCTTGTACTGAAAAATCTGAGTCTTAGAACTCATGCCTCGAGATGGGCGGCGGCATTGACGTGGTTGACTTCGGTGATCACTCAACACTAAATGGGCCGTGAGCTCCATGACCGTGAAAACTAAAATATTCAAAGCGTCGTTTTTTTTTATTATTGAGGGATTACTGGTGGCCCGGAGACCTCTCCAGTTTCACCAGGGCAAGTGGGTGAGCAAAGGCTCAGCCAGGAGGAGGGTTGAAATAAGCTAACAGCTGCCCGAGCGCCTCCAAAGGAGACCTAACAACCCAAGGTTAGCTGCTTCGTGAATGAATCTACTGCCGGATCGGAATCGCGACCCGCTGAGAAGATCTGGCGAATCTTTCTTTAGTTATATCTTTGAAAGTTGGGTTCGTGGTTTAAAATCAACAATACGGTGGTAGGGCCAATAGAATTTAATTTTTATTATTCTTAATGGAAAGATAAACTGATCGCGTCGCGAAACTGTACAAATACCTTTCTGTATTTCATCCTGAGTGGGTTTGTTCGTTTTTTTATTTTTGTAACGATATCTCCAGCTAACTTTTACCTAGAAGACGAAGTTTGGCGAATCTAAATTGAGTTGCAATGGTACTTCTTAGTGTTTTGGGGACGTGTAGAAAAAGAAACTTTGTTCCGAGTTTTGTAGTTTGTACAAACAAAATTAAATGTGCAGCAGCTTTTCCCAATATTTAATTCAATTCATTTATTTATTCATCAATATAATAATAATCCATAAATTCATATACACATTTAAATCAAAATTAAATTACAATATTGCATGCAGTAGAGATGCGAATGTTGCGATGGATGTGTGGAGTAACGAGAATGGATAGAATACGGAATTAATATGTTAAAGGAAGTCTGAAAGTGGCACCTGTGACAGAGAAGTTAAGAAGTACGCGTTTGGGGTGGTATGGACATGTGATGAGACGAAATAAAAATGAGGTTGGCAAGAGAATGTTAACTATGAATGTAGAAGGATATAGAGGAAGAAGTAGACCTAAGAAGAAATGGATGGATTGCGTGAAAGACGATATGAGTCAGAGGGGAGTGAGCGAAGAAATGGTATATGATAGAAGAGTATGGAAGGAGAAAACATGTTGCGCCGACCCCAGGTGACTGGGAGAAGGGCAGGATAATGATGGGGTACATAAAGGAAACAAAAAAAATAAAAATAAATGAGTAGGCCTTCTCAAATAAGATTATAATCTATAAATTAATACGTGAAGCAAAAACTTTGTACCTTCGTGCGTTGGTGATCCAACGAATGTTACAGTTTCTTATGGCAA